AGAACGCTGGCAGGAACTGTCACAGAAAAGACTATGGGGATGTAGCCTCGGATGGAATTGAGGGATGAAGTGCTGGAGACTGCTGGAAGGAAGGGCAGGCTCCTCAAGTGGCAAAGAACTAGGCTGCAGGGTGTCCTTGCCCCAGGGCTAAATGGGAAAACAGAACTTAAGAAAATGAACTGGGAAGGACCTGGTGTTGTAATGTAAGAAAAGGAGCACACAGGATAAACACGCCATGCAACAGGGTTCAAGCATAAGGTTTTTTTGTTTGTTTGTTTTACTAGGGAAAGGGATCATAAAAGAGGTAAGGGAAGAGGGAAGACTGGCCTCTGGCGACAGGAGCAGCAAGAGAGAGGAGGAGAGGGGAAGAGGGGTGCAAGAGGGAGAGGGGAGAGGGGATAGGTGGTGGGCCTGGCCCTTTTAAAAGGAAACACAGTGACTGTGCACAGGTGGTGCTCTTAGTGGCTGCAGCTTTATCCTGTCAGAACCCCAAGGGCAGGCCAGCACAGATGCCTGAATACTGACACCATTGGGGCTGTGGTGTGGCTTCTTGTAATGTCACCTACTAAAATGTGAGGAGAGAAACGACGTAAAGATGGAATGTATAAGGAAGAGGATGAAAGTCTTGGAAAACTCACAGCTGACCAAGTAAAAGAAAGAAATGCCATCCGCATACCAAGGGTGTGGCCCAGCAGCTGGCCACTCGCTGACGAGATTAGGACAGAAGGGAGCTACGCATCACTCAGGAAGACATCTGGTAGGAGACACCCCCAAACACAGCAGAGATCTTAGAGGCCGGCTATTCCTAGAGGGCACGTTTCCATCAGGACCGAAGAGCACAGGGAGGGCTGCTACTCTAGTAGCCAAAGCTGTGGCCTTGGTAGAGAGTCCACACAGCTAGCCCTGAGTCCTGCTGAATGTCAGAGCTTGGGGTGCAGTGCACAGTGTAGGGGGCCAGAGCAACCAGACAGAGTCCATACTAGGGTGATGCCCACAGCAGAGAAGGCCATGTGGATGTAGAAGGCCATGAGCTGCTGTTTACATTGAGCACAGTGAAACCCTAGGGTGGGCAGTTCCAACAGCCACCCGAGTGGCATGGAGGCAGCACAGAGTTAAGATTATTCTGGAAGCGAGGACCTAATTCGGTTTGCTGAATTGGGTGCTGGGCTCACATAGGATGACTTACGCCTTATTTGTGGCTGACTTTCCACTCTGGGAATGAGAATGTCTGTCTCAGGCCTGCCTGCCATGACACTTGGGTGACAGGCCCTCAGCAGACAAGATCTGTCAGGACACTGGTCTGGGTCTCACCTCTGCCTGGCTCACCTGTCATGGCCCTGGCCTTTGGACATTTGAGTTGGGCTGTACTAAGGGAAGACTCTGGGAACTTCCAGGATAGAAAAAATGCATTTTGTATGTAAAAAGAACAGAAGATAGTGGGGTGGGGTTAGAGGAGCCACCCCGGGCTCCTCTAGCATCCCTGAATCTCTTGGTCCCTTCTAAACCAAGTTACAATTTAACTGCCAATGTGACAGTTTTCCAGAGGTCACTAGGTCTGGGAACTCCCCTGTCATGAAAGGATTAGTGCCATCACCATAGGGAGGGGTTTTCTCTAGTTCACTCTGCCCTCCTACCATGTTGTGACACAGTAAGAAGATGTGGGGGCCCTCCCAGAGGCCAGCGCCTTGATGATGGCCTAACCAGACACTTGCAGAAGCAGAAGCCAATAAATGTCTGGTCATTATAAATCACCCAATCTATGACGTTGTGGCAGTGTGAAACCTCTTCAATCCATCCACTGGCTTGTTTGCTCAATCTTTGCCAACCTCCCATCTGGCCCTAGTACAACAAGGGGCTCCAGCCACAGTGGCTGCCCTGCCCTCCAACAGGACACACACTTCTACCTCAGTGTCTTTGTACCTCTCTTTCTTCTGCCCCCAGTGTTGTTCTGCCTCTTTACATGACTAGAGAGATGCCACCTCCACCCAAATGCCAATTCCACAAAAGTAGGGACTCATCATCTGTCACCGCTGGATCTCCACTTACTGGAATGTTGGAATGTATTCTAAAAACATATCCCGAGTGTGACAAGCTGGACTGTTGAAGCCCTAGCTCCAGGCCTCAGAATGCCATTTTACTTTGGAATCTGGTCGTCACTGATATAATTAGTTAAGATGAGGTCACAATGGAGCAGGGTGGGTCACCAGCCCCATGACCAATTTCCTTATTAAAAGAGGAGTGCAAACGCATGCATGGGGGAGAGCCATCTGCAGATGAGTACCAGTGTCACAAGTCAAGCCACTACTGGAAGTTTGGGGAAACCAGGGACAGAACATTCCCAAACACCTTCAGAGGTTGTGTGCCTTTGCCTGCACCTTCAGCGGTGACTTCAGCCTCCAGACTCACCAGCAAACAAGACCCGCGCCTATGGCTCTATCCTGCTGGAGAGCTTTGCTGCAGTAACCTGGTGGGCACACTGAATGAGCAAGCCTTCCTCTCACTCCAGCTGGCCACCCACGACCCAGCGTCAGAGAGCCAGAAACCATTTCATATTCATCAGAAATGTTACAGTTCCCTAATGTGCAGACAACCCAAACTCCACCACCCAGCATGCAAAGCTCTGTACAGAACACTCAGATCCCATCCAATCTTCCAGACTCACCACCCCAGGCTCCTCTAGCATCCCTGAATCTCAATCAGCTGCTTACTCTTCCCAGAATGCCCACTTTTGACTGTGCCCCACGGCCTGTAAGCCTATCGTCCTGCTACCTGGAATGTACTATTTTCCCAATCCTTCCGCAATACTTCTTTACAGCCTCCAGCACCTGGTTTCCCCCACCAGTGGAATGTGCCATGCTCCCAAGGTCTCTGTTAGACTCAGGCCATGTCAGTAATTCATTGGCTGAGACCTGGCTCACAGGCATGAACTCCAGGAGAGGGCAGGCATCATGTGGTTCTCACCACTGCCCGAACCGAGGCTGAGGATGCCAGTGGTGGCTTGTGGAACACACGATAGAAGAAAGCAGACAGGAACTCATGGTTACGCTTATGCTCAACACTCACTCTTACGACCCACCAAGAGCAAAAGCACCTGTATTGAGGGTGACATGTCACTTGATATTTGCAGCCCTGACTACCGAGGACTTCATGTCTTCAGTCTGGGACCCACCTTCAAGCTCAGCCCTGTGACTTTGACATGGAAATAGAGGAAGATGCTGTCATTCCAAAGACAGTCTCTTCTATCCAGCTCCATACCAGGCAGCCTCAACTAACATTTAAAAACATTAATACAAATCAACCATGGATCCCAAGGATGTAGCAAGATGTAGCATTACACAAAAAAGGTGTGTAATGAAAAATGCCGTGTAAACAGTCACTAGTTCTGCCCTCAGGAGTCCCAGACAAATGTCCTTCCTATTACCTCTCTCTCCAAGGCACCTAAACTCCCCAGAGGGGAGTTGCTGGGTCCCAGCTACTGGTCTCCTGGGTTCAGGGCAGATCCAGTTACACAGTAAGGGACAGAAGTTGAAGTCCCAGCCCCTACCAGCCTGCAGCTTCTGCGTGGCTAAAACTGTCATTTTAATAGCTCTATTCCCTGGCAGGTGATGCGGAAATGCCCGGGCCACTTTCCAGGAGCAGCAGAGCAGGTGAACGCTTGGGTACCAAGAACAAGCAGGAAACTAGAACTTCTAGTTCTCTCTCCCCCCCCATCCTCCATCCTGTTTCTGGGCACACCCCAGCAGGAGGAGGGCTTGGAAGATGCCTGGCTTCCCATCCACACTCAGCACAGGTTTGACTCAGACACTAGCCCTGCAGCAACCCAAAGTAGTGACCCAAATGTGGGATGAAGGGCAAGCACAAAGAACCATGTACCCACACGACCCATCTTCTGGATTCCCTAGGTCCTAGTTGAATACCACCTCCCTCCCCAGGCACACACACACACACACACACACACACACACACACACACACAGACATACACATTCTCGGAAACCAAAACAAACAAAATAAATAGGGTCCTCATAGCAGCCATTGGGACAGCCCAGACTGGAAGTGAGGGACTGGGGGTGTAGTTCCTAAGTCAAGCCTTATCTAACATGTATGAAGCCCTGGATTCAAAACCCAGCATCACCAAACAAAACAAAAAGAGCAGGTGAGACTTTGAGCCCAGAGCTGTGTGAGCCCAAGCTAACCAGTAGTACTAATAATAGACTCCTTAGAGCCCTTTGCTGGAAGTTGAAAAGTACAGGGCAGCCACCATCCTCGATCCCCTGTTGGAGGCCTGATCCCATGGCAACCTGTGGGCTGATGCAACACACAACACTGGACCAGAGGCTTGGGTTCAAGTCCAAGCTGTCGCATCATCACAATCCCTACCAGCTTTCTCTCTGTCTGGCCTCATTTTCCCCACCTGCTCGAGCCCAGGGTTCGACCGGGTTTGACCAGCCCAGACTCTCCTGGGCCTACTCTGCTCAGATGGGAGGTTCTTCTATATCATTTTTGCCTGGACTCCTAACTCATTCCTCACTCCTTGGGGCCGGCCTCTTCCTGTGGTCCTGACTCCACAGACCTGTTGCCATCAGGAGACTGAGCTTAAGTCCAAGTGGCCCTAAGACTTGCCCGGGTGGCCAGATAGCTTGTCCCTGGGGATGACTGGCTGGGGCAGAGTAGCTAAGTGAGCGATGGGTGGGCTGCAAGCTGTCCACAGGAGTGCTACTTAACAAAGAGTGGAGACCGTAACCCCGGAGGTGCCCCATCCTGCCCCGGCCAGGCACATGCCTCGGGACTTCGAGGAGGCGCCTGGGGGGCTACCTGGAGTGGACACGAGGCAGCAGGGCTCGGTCCGGGCTGGATCTCCCCGTTGCAGGTTCCCAAAGGGACAGCGAGGCACACCCCGGGGCTCAGCATCCGGAGGATAGAAAGGGCTGAGCCTCGCGCCCGACCGCGCGCACGCACATGAGCCCTGGAGGCGCCCCCTCCCGTCCCGCGACCACTGACCATAGTGACCGGAGCCGTCGGGCCACGTCCCGCCCCAGCGAGGAGGGAGCGGGTGCCACGGGAGGCGCTGGGCGGCTCCGCCGTTGGGTCGGGCGGCGCGGGACTCGCGGGTGTGGGGCGAGCGCAGAATACACCCTACCGCCCCTCAGACCGGAGCGCAGACCTCCACTGTGTCCCAGCAAGACGCACTTCCCGCGATTGACGTTGGAAGCCGGCAATCAGAAGCCAAGACGCAGGACGTCACAGAAAGTGGGTGGGACTCCACTCGCCTTCAGCCCATGTTTTGGGGCCCGTTTGACAGGAGACCGCCCCCATTTTAAAGACACAGAGTGCTTTTAACAGGCAAAGGAGTTAGCCTAATCAGGGAAGCCGGTTCTGGTTTGTAAAGACAGACTTTGTTGTTTTCTTTCTTTAAAAATTAATTTATTTTTACATTCCAATCCCAGTTCCCCCTCCCTCCTCTCTTCCCGCTCCCCCACTCCCTCCCTCCCATCGGCTCCACGGAGGGGGTAAGGCCTCCCCTAGGAAGTCTACTAAGTTTGTCCCATGTCTAGTTGAGGCAGGACCAAGGCACCTCTCCACCCCCACACCCCTGCAAAGACAGAAAGACTTTTGGCTAAAACTGAAAATTGAAATCTGGAAGATTAAATGGCCCTCGTTAATTAATCAACGAGTTCACCCAAGTATAGTTCTCACAAGATCAGAGGACAGGTGCTTAGGAAGCACGTGTCCCGCCTCATTAAGTTACATTGTCAGCTCCTGTCTAGCTCCTAAATAATACTTTGGCTCTTTCCAAGTCATGAATCAGTGGGTTGACAGTCATCCAGGTAATGTTTGTTGAATGAATGAATGTTGGGGATGGTTGAGCGTGGCTGTGGAGTTGTGGAGCTGTGTAGAAGACACGACTGAACCGGGTCTAGGTGACACACCCTGTGTACAAGCTCGTTACTACTGAACATCAAACAAGAAATATTTAGCATTTGACGATTTGTTTGCCAGCCCTTGACCCCTGGTGGAGCTACTGCAGGTGTTGTGGGGAGAAGGGTGTGCACGGTACCTGACTATTTTAGTAGGCTCTGGCACTCAGGTGTTTCAGGAGAAACTGTGGTGGAAATGTGATAATGTTGGCTGGAAGCTGTTTTGCTCTTTTCCTGGGCTGGTGACAGGTGGTCTCACACCCTCATAATCGTGGACAGCCAAACCGAATGGCAGCTCCCGTCAGCCCCACCAGAGGAAACAGTAAACACATCCCAGTGTTCCATAGCATAAAGCTAAGATGGTTAGTACATTTGGTGTGGTGTATGTATAATGTGTTTTTCATTTTATGGTGTGTGTGTTTGTGTGTGTGTTGAGATGTGTGTGCACCTGTGTTGCATATGTCAGGGCCAGAGGTCAACGTAGGTGTTTTCCTCTGTTTCTTTCCATCTTGTTATTTTTATTTTTTAAAATTTATTTGTATTATCCGGGTGTGGAAGCATATGCCTTTAATCCCAGCACTTGGGAGGCAGAGGCAGGCTGATCTCTGAGTTTGAGGCCATCCTGGTCTATAGAATGAGTTCCAGGACAGACAGGACTACACAGAGAAACCCTGTCTTGAAAAAAAGAAAAGACCTTGATTATTTTAAATTGTGTTATTATAATTAAATGTGCTCTAAGCCAAGCAACCGTCATCTGGAGGAGTTCAGCTGTGTCCCCTTCGAAAAAGATCATCCCAGGTGTGTTTGCTAATTGTTTGTACTCCCAAATAGAGGGGTAGCATAGGGCAGGAGACCCTCAGATGAGTATCTGCTTCTCCCACCTCTTCTAAATGCAAGACAAGGCCTGGGACCAGAGTATAAATCGGCTGGGGACTCCTGTGTGTATGTGTGTGGGTGCTCCTTCCATCTATATGACTACAGGGAAGCTTTTATTTCGGGGTAATGCTTTCCAGGTGCCAGTTGAGGGAGTAGCACCCATAGCCCTGTAATTGTCCCCACCCATAGGAAGCCCAATAAACTCACTGGTTCCCTGGAGTGAGTTTTCATGGAACTGTGCCTTGATTTGTCATTGAGACTTTGGGAGGAGGGGTAGACATTGCTTCCATCTAAACCCTGGGAAGGAATTTAGTAACATGTGTGTAGGTGTGTGTGCCTGCATGCGGGTACATGTATGTGGGCGTAGGGACCTGTGGAGGCCAGTTGTGTTGGATGCCTTGGAGCTTGAGTTATAGACGGTTGAGAAGCCACCTGACATGGGTGCTGGGAATGGAACCTGAGTTCTCAGGAAGAGCAGTTAAGTGCTCTTAATCCCCAGCCATCACTCCAGTCCTTCCATCTTATTTTCTTGGGGGGTGTTGTTTTTCATTCAATTCAGTGGCTGCACCTTAAGCAACTGCTGTGCCAACTGGCAATTGCAACTCCTTAGCTACCAGCCAGTGGTTCAGCAGCACAGGCTGCAGCCCGGCGGGAATTCTGTTCCTTCAGGTGCCGGCTCTATCAGGACAGCTAAAGGAAGCTTTAAATCTCCATCCTTCTATAGAACTCAGGATTCAAAAGTTGAGGTGAAACCCTCCTAGCTGAGAGAGGCTGAATAGCAAATAGCTAACCGGCTCTCCTTTCTTGCATCTTCCCCCAAAAAGGGCCAGACTTCTGCTCAAGCCCCACTCAAGAACCCTTGCTACACTTAGTTCCTTCCTACCACTTCCTGTCTGCTAATTGCTGACTCAGCCTCCTGACCCCAGGTTATTTTATTTAATCAAACAAATCTCACATGTGTTTGCATCATTAACAAAAAAAAGCAGTAGAAACACTTCTTTACACACTTAAAATAATAATATTCCACAACACAAGAGTCTCTCATTGGACGCAGAGTGCACAGATTCCACTAGATTAGCTGGGCACAGAGCCTCAGGGGGCCTACTGTCTCTGCCTCCCCAGCGCTGGGATTACAAAAGCACACCACCATGTATGGACTCTTTTACTTTTTTCTCTGGGGGAATTGAACTCAGGTCCTTCTGCTTGTGGGGCAAGTACCTTTCCAACTGATATCTTCCCAGCCCTTTATCTTAATAATGTTTTAAATTTGTGATTGCTTTATTAAGCACAACTCTGTTATAAAGTCTAGGCATATCTGTTTTAATACTTCAGGTGCCTATGTACAGTCTCTGCTTTCCATCACCCTCTCCCCAACCCAGTTAGGCTCTTGTTTAAACCAACATCTGTGTCTTTGATGCCTACACCATACATTGGATAGGAGTATGGGGTCAATGGGAGTTTGGAGAGAAGCAACAGCAGCTGGGTCCTTTGTTCAGGGCACTCACAACCAAGCACACTGGGACCCTCATCATGTATTCTTTGACTTAACCTTCTCATTCCCAGGGTGTGCTCCTGTCCCTGTATCACAAGGAGAACAACTTAGTTGCTCAGTTGAGCTTGGTATAGCACACTTTTGGTTCCAGTGTGGATCTCTTTGAATTCAAGGCCAGCCTTGTCTACATATTGACATATTGATTCCAGAGGCAACCGAGGCTTCATAGTGAGATAGTGAGACCTTGTTTTATAAGGAAAGAAAGAAGGAAGGAAAGGAGGAAGGAAGGAGGGAAAGGAGGAAGGGAAGGAGGAATGTTGGTGCATAATCTTTTTTGTACACTGTAAAGCTGTGTCTCTAAGGCATCTGATTGGTTTAATAAAGAGCTGAATGGCCAATAGCTAGGCAGGAGAGAATAGGTGGGACTTCTAGGCAGAGAGAGGAATGTTGGGATGGAGAAAGGTGGAGATGCCAATGGGCTCAGCAAGTTGGACATACAGAATGAAAGAGAGGTTAAAAAAAACCCCACATGGTAGAATGCAGATTAATAGAAGCAGGTTAATTTAAGTTATAAGAGCTATTTGGGAACGAGCCTAAGCTAAGGCCAAGCTTTCAAATTAATAAGAAGCCTCTGTATTGTTATTTGTTAGCTGGGTGGCCCAAAAGAACAACTACAGAGGAAGGAAGGAAGAAAGGAAGGAAAAGAAAGAAGAAAAAAAGGAAGAAAATGACTTGCCCAAATCTACACCATACAGCCTCATTGAGTCCTAGGTAGCCTAAGCACCACGCTGGATGCACGGCAGAGAACCATGTCATGGTGGAAGAGCCACACACTACTCCCTGGCCTGTACTTCATGTTCTTCCTTACTTTTGCAGAGTTTCTGCTGCTTGTTTGTTTTGCTTTGATAACAGGCCCCAGTGTTGCCCAAGGTGGCTTTGAACCCCTGGGCTCAGGTGATCCTTCTGTTTTAGCCTTTTTGGTAGCTGGAACTCAAGGCTGTCTTTTATTTTATTTTAATTTTTGTCAGCGAACTCAACCCAGAGAGAAATGACAGGAACAGCCTGGGCTAGGAGTAGCTCTGCTGGGACTACCTACTTCTGCTCCGTGCCTCTACCTGCCCCTTCTTGTGAGATGAGTTCTTGCCATGTGGCCCTGGCTGGCTGTGAACTCAGAATCCTCCTGGCTCTACCGCCTGATTGCTGAGATTACAAGTGTGCCTCACCAAGCCCAGCCAGGGTCCTGAACTCCCGACTCCTCATTTAGTGCTTGGTCCAGGCTGAGCTCTGCATTCCTTGGTGGAAGAATGACTGAGCCATGAGTGGCCACACCCGTGGTTGTGGTATGAGGCATGGTGAGGACCTTTTGTCAGATGAGGCTGCATCCCATACCCAGACCTCAGCGACTGCAAACAAAGCCAACCTTGGTCTAAGGAAAGAACAGGGGACCGAAGTCCACCAGGAACCCTGACTTCTTGGCTTCTGGCTTTCTGTCACTTACCACGGTGTCTTCAGGCAACTCCTAGGTCCTCTTTGGTCCTTTAATTTCTCACCCATTTAGAGGGGTGGGTAACCTGGGTGGTTAAGAGGACCATCTAAGGGATTGAGGATTTAGTTGATGGGATACTTGCTTAGCTCATGAAGTCATGCATTTGATCTGTAGCACCAGATACAGTGGGTGTAAACCCAGCTGGAGGGTTGGAAGGTGAAGGCCATCCTGGTTTAACTAGTTTAAGACCAACCTGGAAAACTCAAGACCCTGTCTCAAATATATATATATATATATATATATATATATAT